CTTTAATTATGTTTCCTATGCATTAAAGTATAATTAGATTTTTCGGTAAAACTCTTGTTTAAGAGTTTGACCAATTTTTCTCTTACAAGTATGCAGGGTGTCTCATTTTAACTTGGACAGTAAAATATCTCGAAAACTGAGCCCAGCAGACAAAAATGTTTCAGACAAAAGTTGTATGGTTTCGAGGGGGACATAAGATGGTACCATTGGTTTGACCTTGAAGAATTATTTGAAGGTCACATAAAGGTCACACCAATTTTTTTAAATGGCGTCCCTTATTTTTTATTACATATTCTTGTAGCTGACCTCGAGAGCTTTCCAGAACGCTATAATAAAGTATTTTTTATTTAAGAACTTTTTGAGTTATTAAGGTTTGAAAGTTCCAATATTTTGACATAATTACAAAATATCTTGTAAAATATTCATTTTTTTGTCATCTTACCTTAATACTTTTTTGAACGGAATAAAGAAAACACAATTTTGTAACAATAAAAAAAATTTTTTTAACAATTGTGTGTTTTCTTTACACCGGTTGATTTGTATCATTATTGTACCATCTTATGTCCCCCTCGAAACCATACAACTTTTGTCTGAAACATTTTTGTCTGCTGGGCTCAGTTTTCGAGATATTTTACTGTCCAAGTTAAAATGGGACACCCTGTATAATTATACTTTTCTCTATTAAGAAAGGTATCTATGCGATTATACATGTTACCCGAGGTGTAAACCACTGAGATCATTGTAGTGCACAGATTTCGGGCACTACTAGGTAATTTTTTTGGGGCATTAGTGGGTGTTATTTGGCCCTGCTGGGACATTATAAAGAATTTAAAAAGATAAAAAAGATAAAACGAGATAAAATAAGATTATAAGCTAAAGTAATGCCCACTGGGCATTAGTAGGCATTGGTGTACATGATTTTGGTCAGCGGTTTATCCTTCGTATATTACAAATTGCAGTGTCTTTTTAAATGTCATATGTTTACATTTGGAATAATAAAAGAAATCAATGTGTAGACATGTCATTCACAAGAAATTGCACAATTATTGTCTCTGAAGAAAATCACATGAAATTGGACCATGTTTTTCAATTGTCAATCCTAAGAGAGATTCACTTTATTGAGAGATATGTTAATATCATACTCTACGAGCACGTGTGTTTCATAATAGTAACAAAAAGAACAAATATACATATGATCTCAGGTAACATTTGATCGCAAACTTGGAATACATGTTTTTATTAGCAAAAGCTCAAAAAGGTCATCACTTGTTCATACTTTCCACTATTAAATATAATATTGAGTAACGAGTTAAATTCTCATAGTGTAACATTTAATATTAGCTTCCCTTGAAAACTTTAAAAGAGATTCTTGATTCCTTCTTTTAACACACTAATATTTCATTGAAGTATTATTAAAATAAATACTTTTAAAATGTGAATGACGTACTTGTAATATCTTAAAATTGAGTGGTTTAAATGTGTGAATATAAATATATACGACATATAACTTTCTAGCGAGAAAGAATTATAAGAGGAAAGTCCCGTACTATGTGATAGGCTCCTAATATGAGATATCGGGGTTTCTGCTAAATTAATAGGCATCATCTGTTGGTTCCGTCATAAATTTATTGCCATTGGAGTGAAATCTGTTTAAGAGAAATTGATTGTTAGATCGTGTAATCGTCGCGAAAAAAGATTAGTGATTGAATTTGGACGTTAAAAACCTGCTATCTCATATTAGAATCCTATCTCATAATAGAGGACTTTCCTCTACCAATTAAAGAATGTAATTTTACATGCTTACTAAAGAATAGTCGATTGCTTGACATCTTAATGTTTTACACTCAAATTCAAAATTAAAAAATTTACAATTATTTAAAATCATATTCTTGTACACAGTCAAGCGCAAATTAATATTTAAGATATGCAAGAAAATGAAAATGTACCGCAAACTCTATTCAATCGTCAATAAAATAAAAGAAAAAAATTCTAAAACAAATGACCTCGCAGAAGAAACTGTCTCCAAGCATACAAATTATATTTGAATATAATTATAATAATTAAATTTGAAGCATGTTTTTATTGTTATAAGCTAACGGAAATTATTATAGATGTTTCTCTTCCTACTGAAAGAATACCTGAGCAAATATTACTTAAATGTATGTTTATAAGATCTTCTAGTGTCTTCTTTTTATATGAGTTATTTTATATAAGTTGTTTGTTATCATTGAAAAACATTGATGAAAGCTTTATTCGTCAAAAGTGGTTCATTGCTTTACATAAAATGTTTTTAATCCTCAAATAATTAAATTTTGAAGTAAAAATTATCACAAATTAAACAAAAAATAAAATCTACTTGTTTTTGCATCTCACGAACTTTTTAGGAAATTCATCAAATTACTTTTTCTCTTGAAACTATCAATTATACATTTTTCTCAAAGAGAAATTTATTTCAAATTGTCATCAAGCAGAAATAATCTGCATATAAAAAATAGCTAATCGGATAGTACTTATCATTTGAAATATTTAAATCTTTTAGTTCTTTCGTCAATTATGACTAGTTAGTAAAATAATCGCAAAAAGTTTATGATAAAACTTTTCAGTAAATAGAGAATTTGGAATAATGGAATAGCTTTATATAAAATAACAAAATCACAAAAACTATAAAAGATTCAGAAAGTATTGCAGAAATACATATATTAAATTTGTAGTAGAATAATAAACAATTTTAAAAATATCATTTGCTTTTAAACTTAATATCAAATTTAGTCAATATAACAATTGGGTGAAATAATTACTTAATAACAATTAACACTTGAAGAACTCGAATTCGTTAAGGCTGCTTCGAAGTATTTGTAAAGGCAGTTTGACCGCAGCCTAAGATACAAATTGTAAAACAGAGACAAAAATTGTACAGTTCGCATTAATGCAATAGTAATGTGAATTTCATGTAATAAAAAAAACGAGTCAATTCCATCATTCCGGATCGGACAAATCTCAAATTATCGAGGCACACGACGAGTACCTCTGCGCTTGTAAAGCTGCGTGTCTTTTCGGAAGACGAATGAGTATTCATCGCTTTGGCCGAAACCCAATATAATCTCCTTGAAGTTCTCCAGAACGGTGATAGCTGCGCGATTCATCAGCTCAAGCGCGGCCAGGTCGTTCGGCTTAACGAATTGATGCGTGTCGCAGAACTTGGAAAAGTTTCTACCGTCCACACGAATGACGATCCAGCAGTTCGGCAGACAATTGTCATCCCGCTCGAACTCCTTCACGTACTCGAACTTGCTCTTGGCCATCGTCGTGAGACTCAAGTACCGGCGCGAGACCACACGTCTGGCCCGGGTGACAATTCGCGAGAGAACACTCTTCATCCGGACGCGCTCCGTTAGACACGCGGCATCACCGTTGGAGCATTGCCGCGTGGAGAAGCCACACCGTCAGATCGGACAGATGTAATTGAAATCGCAAATCGTTGTATAACCAGACCTCTCACTTTCGGAACTACGGATAAGCGCTGTGCGCGAAATAAAAGCAACTTTCTGCTATCCGTAAATTTCTAATCCCGGCTATCAAATGTGTCAAGTAGGACCCTGCTTCGTTGCCTTCGATTTGTCTTCTTCTTCTTGATCTCGCAGATGGCTCCCGTCTCACTTGCTGAGCCGACACCGACACGGCCAAGTCTAAAGGCCTGTGTCCACGATGCTAGAATTTGATCAAAGTTCTAGTTCCGAGAAATGTGTAGCCAATGAACTTGTAGTTTTTATGGAATAGCTGCGAGTTGATTGGCTACACATTTCTCGAAACTAGAACTTGGACCAAGTTCTTGGATCGTGGACACAAGGCTTAAGGCTGGTATTACA